CGCATAGCCATAGCACTCGGTGCGCAGGTAGGCCAGGCTGCGGTTGCCATAGTAGATGGCGTTGGTGGGGTGCAGCTCGATGGCCTGGCTGTAGAACTTGATGGCGTTCTCGTAGTCCTTGGCTGAGGAGGAAGAGGGCACGTGAGGCAGGCCGGGAAGAACAGGCTCTAGCCAAGCGTTGGCTCCGACTCCCGTCCACGGATGGGGACTCTCCACCCTCTGCTCAGGCTGTAGCGCGAATCCCAGACACTGGGATGGCTCCCCCATGCCCACCACTGTGCCAGCTACTCAGCGCTAAGCGCCTGGGACTCCCGGCTCATCAGGGTCACCAAGTCCTTCCTGGGCCCCGGACGGGGTGTGTGGCCAGAATGAAGCCGACTCCTGGGCAAATGGGAGGTGGACGCTCCTGCCTGGAGCCCCTTCCCTGTCCAGCCCCCCACAACAAACCGACAAGCCCAAGGAGTGAGCCAGGTGGGGCAGGGGGACAACTTAGACTTCAGGGAGAAGGAAGTGGCGCGCACACGGGAGGGGCAGCAACACCCCCACAGAGGGATCTGGACAAGCGTGTCTAAGTGCAAAGGTTTCTGAGGACAGAAGGTGACATGGGGCGGAGGGGAAAAGGTCAGGTTTCACTTGAACGAGACATGCTGTGTCCTGCCCTGCACATCGGACTCCTGGGAGCTGGCGTGTGACAGAGGAGACCTGGGTCTCAAGCAAGGTCACACAGGCAGCCAGCATGTGCCGGAGCTGGGCTTGTCCCCTCCCGTGTCCGTCCAAGGACAGGAGGAGCACCACTCGGCCCAGGGCTCAGAGGGGGACCCTGGTGCCCGAGGCCACACAGCAGTGGTGGCCCGGGCGCCACTCCTGGCTCTGCCCTGTGCTAGCCAGGCCCTTCCCCCACTGAGGGGGCTGACCTGTTTTCCTCTAGTCCAGGCCTGGGGCTCTTTGCCCCGAGGCACACACAGCACCCTGGACCTGCCTCCACCCCTCCTCTCTGTCGGGAGTGCCCATGGGCCCTCAGGGTGGGTCAAGACCCCATCTAAGCCCC